TTTACCCATCCTCAGAGACTGGTAAATGATTTGACCGTGACATATGTCCCCCCGTGCTCTCACTGACAGCGAATATAATTAGCGGTCACGATTGTTCCTCGCCGTGACTATATTCCTCTAGAAGGTTCGTAAAATTAGATGGAGGTGACAAATCACTTGGACTTTTGACAGAGCAATCGGTTGACATCCAGGCCTCTTGCACCTGCCTTGATGTGTGATTATTGACTCGACCCACGATGTCGACGGCGTCAACGTTAAAGATGTTCGCGATCTGTGCAGCATGGGTTGTTATATCCGACTTTAGAACCAGCCCTCCGGTGCTCGGCAAATGTTCATGTATTCGCCTTGTTACCTGTTGGCCGGCTCTCCAACGTAGCTGCGCAACCAGCAGCTGCACTGAAGTCGGTAGACAAAATCCGGATTCTCCTGCTGAGGAAGAGAATACTTTGGTCGTATAACGCATCGCCGGATTGACCAAGTCTCAAACCCATGTTTGAAAGGCACTCCAAACTGGAGCGATTTGAGCCTTTTCAGTTGTCCCTGATGGTGGGCTCCATCCGACAGTCCGACCGTCGTTGCCGACGATGTCCACCGTGCGCTCCACAGCAGAGTGAGCGCAGAAACGATGTCTTGCTTGTGAATTAGTTTATAATGAGAGCAGACTTTCGCGACATCTACCGCACTTCATCTTCTCCTGGGCCCGGTTTAAAGACATAGCCAAGAAGACCGGAGGTGAGGGCGGGCGCAGGCGACTGGCGAGGCCGGACCCGCACCTAGGCGAACCACCACACCCCCTCCCCCCCACTCCAAAACAAACACTTGACCAGGATTTTAACCAACAACAACGACAACAATCGCAACACAACGGATCAGAGGGACGAGGATAACTAGGCAACCTTGCTCACGATCCGTATACCCAGCGGGAGCGCATGCGGATCTACCGACAAGGAACCGGATACCAGAGAACTGCCAGCGCACACGGGGACGCGTAGCAGACTTAACTCTGTATCTTCCCACCGTACCCTCTTCCACCTGAACCTGGTATTAAGACAGTGTCTGGAAGACCGGAGTCGAGAGAGGACGCAAGTGGCTGACATGATGTAAACCCGCACCTAGGCGTACCACCGTATCCCCTGTTCCACAACGGCCACCTACTAGGATTTCGGTAAGAATCCCAGTTGGCGCGGAATGAACCGGACAACTGGGCGTGCCATCACAAGCCAATGTTGGCATCCGATATGGGTGTACAACCCCGACATGGCCTGCCGGGCTCGGACCTAGCCCCTGTGTTGCTCCAGCGCATTCGCACGGGCTCCGTCCAGTGAGAACTCTAAACACCTACTAAATGGAAAAAGGAACTGGGTCAAATGCTCATCTTTGCGACTGCCTTGTCTGGTCAAGTAATGCAATCTTAAAAGCGTTTCCATGAGATGAAGCTGTTCATTGATTATCTATTCTGGAAGTCAGTTTTTGATTTAGTGGAAAAAGCCGTAAACAACCGCACACCGGTAGCTGGGATATTCATTGGTTGTGATATGTTTTATTTACAGTGGGTGGGCTATAGAATGAAATGTCAATCGGAATTTCTAAATACGTTTTCGTTTCGAAAAGATTAATTTAGTCGGGTTGTAAACCTAGTCAGCCCGCAACATAATTCTATAATATTCCAGTTACCCCAGGATGCCGGCTTTCGAATGAACTTCCTTCCGGTTGCGTTCATGGACTACACTCTGTAAAAATGACTACTTAAGTAGCATGCATTGTCCTCTTAGATTTTCGACGTCCTTAAAAGTCCAATTATAGTTCATGGAAAACGGGCATAAAATATTCATTCTTTTGCTCTTTCGGTAGATAAATACGTCTTCTTCTAATTTTATACTCGAAGGACGGACATAATTCGGTTTTACAAATTTTTCTAATTGTGGGACTTTTAATTACCGCAAAAGAGCCATTCATAAATCGTCATGTCTCTGCATTTACCAATGTGGCTTGTAAAGTAAACAATATGGATTAAATCCACTGCTAAATGTTATGAACACGATATAGCTCCCCTTTATTACCGTAGAGAAATATGTGGTTTTCTGTACGCAGAAAATATACGGCTTGTAGGTGGGAAACCCTGAATCTTAGTGTAACGGTAGAGCGGGTTCACATTATTTCGGACCTGGAAAAGTTTTTGAAAACCGAATGAAACCCTTTCTTCGAGTACAAAATTGAAAGAAGACGTAGTTGTCTGCCGAACGAGCAAAAGAATGAATATTTTTTGCTTGTTTTCCATGAAATATAATTGGACATTTAGGGGCGTCGAAAATCAATGAGAAAAATGCATGCTAATTAAGTAGTCATTTTTTACAGAGCGTAGTTTTTGCATGCAGCCGGAAGGAAGTTCGTTCGGAAGCCGGCGTTCTGAGGTAATTGAATTATTATAGAATCATGTTGCAGACTGACTAGTTTTACAGCACTACTTAATTAATCTTTTCGAAACCAAAACGCATTTCGGAATTTCGGTTGACATTTTTATGTGTAAGCCCACCTACTGTAGATAAAACATACACCAACCAATGAAATTCCCAGCTACCGGTGTGCGTTTACTTATGGCCTTTTCTACCAAATCAAAAACTGACTTCTAGTATGGATGATCAACGAACAGCTTCATCTTGACCGTTATTGCGTCTTGTGTTTCTAAAAGAGGAAAGGCCTTACTTTACATCAATGTGACAACATGTTCAATGAAAGGCTTTTATAAGTTATCATGCCTGTGACGGGAAGAGCTATAGAGAAAAATATGAACACAATGAAACGTGTAGTTGTAACGGCGACAAGTCTTATCTTCGCTTCTGCACTTCACTCTTTTTACACCTCAGGAATTGTGCCAAGAATGGTATAAAGGATTGGTGATACGCTGTCGTACGAAGGTAGACATGGCTGAGGCCAAGCCAGAGTAATGGGGTTTGAACACGGTCATCACGAATTTGATTGTCGGATAGTTCGGCCGTTGTGAAATACCATGACACTCTGATATCCAACTGAGAGAAAACGACAACAGAAGAGAAGATCGTAGACTGCTTGTTCGTAAAGCAGGAGATCGGTAGGGAACCAGAAAAATTCAAAAGAAAAAATGCAAACGGATTAACGGCCGAGGTAGCATCGTGAATGCCGAAGGCCGTGAGAGGGGATTCAATGGGGAGATATAGTGACTGATTAGAGGACTGTTTACCACAACTGACTTCAGACTGTAGAGTAAAATACTATTTTTTGACCACTTTACTGATCCAAGTCTCAAGATCAGCTGGATTTTTGGATTTTGGATTTTGTTCAAGATACAATACTGGCGCACGAGCCGTGTGCTGCCACGACTTCTATTTGAATCTGTTCAGAATTCAGCGGACTGCATCATCTTAACCCCCTCGCTTCCCACATTCATCGCCTTTGTCTAGTAAAGCAAAGTAAGACGAGAGGAGGTGAGTGAGTGTGCGGTAGCTGACAAATAGCTCCCCACATGCGACAGTTCGACCGTCGTTTCCGGCGATGTCCACCGTGTGCTCCACAGCAAGGTGAAGTAGGGACGGTGACTTGCGCGTGATTTAGTTTATAGTAATGGTAGACCTGCACGGCATCCACTGCACTCTCTTCTCCTCCGCATGAGCTCGGTGTTAAGACATAGTCGACAAGACCTGAGGCGAGGAAGGCGCAGGAGGATGACAGGGTCGAACCCGCACCATAAAGTTTCACTTCACACAACCTGGTGCACACAGCAAATGACCAGTTTTTTGAACCCGCAAAAAACAAGGGGGGTCTGGCAGGATCGGAAACGCACCTAGGAAAACCGTGACACCCGGCTCGGATCCCACGCAGTGGGAGTGCCATAAAGGCCATATTAAGAAGGAGCAATTTCAGTCTGACTCTCAAACCACCAGCCGGGCACTCGATACACGCACACAACGCTGGGCCGACTGCGAGCTCCATTTTATCCCGTCACTTGGCAACCTTCTAAGCCGCGGCTTTTAGCGCACCGTGATAGCTTCAAGCGTGTCAGATGGTTTATAGTGACGATAAATGTGCTGACAAATCGACCTTACTCTCCCTTCCCATTCCCACACCCCAGCTACTGCCCGAGCCGGTCAGCAAATTGGAGTGGGGAATGGGAGCGGTGGCTGGCATGGTTGACGACAAAGCCTGCGTGCGCCACATGCACGACCTGATCTGACTCTCAGACCTCCAATCAAGTAGGAGGTCCAAGTTATCCCGTCAGTTGGCAACATTTCAAGCCACGGCTTTTAGCGCACAGTGATAGTTTCAAGCCCGGTAGATTATTTACAGTGAGGATATGTGTGCTGAGTCGTCGACCTCACTCTCCCTTCCCATTCCTACACCACAGCCGCTGTCCGAGCCGGTCAGCAGACTGAGGTGGGGAATGGGCTCGGTGGCTGGCATGGTCAACTGACCATGCCTGCAAGCGCCACGAGCACGAACTTGCCCCAAGGACTCACACACACACGCACACACGACAGTTCGACCATCGATTTCGATGATGTCCACCGTATGCCTCACAGACTGCATTGTGGGAGCAGGGACGGTGACTTACTCAGGGGTTTATGGTGCCAGTAGACGTGCGTAGCATCTACCTACACTCTCTCCTCCTCCCCCGCCTGGGCCCGGTGTCAAGACAGAGTCAAGAAGACCGGAGACGAGGGAGGCCGCAGGTGGATGGCTCTGACTTAGTCGCTGTCCGAGCCGGTCAGCAGACTGGAGTGGGAAATGGGCGCGGTGGCTGACACGGTCGACTGACCATGCCTGCGTGCGCCACAGCACGACCTGGCCCCCCATACACACAAACACCAGGATTTCACACAACGGGGGTTGAACGGCGTGTCTCTCAGTTGCGTGAGAGGGCCGTGGAAGGTGCAGCTTCAGCCCGTCCCCAGCCCACCCGTCCGCCACACCACACACAACACACGCACACAATGCGACGAACTGCGTGAGCCGAGAGCGTGCGTCAATCAGCAACCTTCATATCCACGACGCTTGACGTGTCGGGATAGTCTCGGACTCAAGTCACCCGTGCAGCCGAAGCGGCGTGGGAACCGAGTCGAGATGCACACTTCCCACTTGCGTGGGGGATGACAGTTGGGTGCTTGTGATGAGGGACTGTTGATGTGTGATGGGGTGGCATTGGTGGTGTTGATTGAGGGAGGGTGTGAGGGTGTGATGCAGCCGGTGGTTGTCTGCCGCAGGTCTTCGAGGATGTGCATGTGGTAGAATGGGCCCATGCGATGCGTGAAGGTGCGAGGACGGTGAGGGCAGTGGAGGCGAGTGTGGTGGATTCTACAGGCACTGGTTCGCCAACCTCTGTGCGATGGATTCGCAAGTGACCGAGCAGGCCGATGTCTGAGGTGGGGATAGGTATGGACCGAGTCTACATCGCCGGCGTTGTTGGTAGGAAGGTTGATGTCTGTTGGTGTTTCAGGATTGCGTGCAGTGGTGGTGGGTCCAGGAGCCGACGGGGCGGATTTTGAGGCAATGGAGAAGGGGGATGGTAGTGGGGGTACGGGAGTGGGGTCAGTGATAGTTTTCGGCATGGGGCGTGATGCAGATTTTAACGAGAAAACAGCGGCTGATGTATCCCGAGTGCTGCATTTTGGACGATTAGCGTCCGGAACGTCTGCTGCCAGATTGGGCAGATGTGGGTTGGTTGAGCGTTGGCGCTGCAAGGTGGGCTCAGTTAGGACTTGCGAACCTCGCGTTTGGTTTTCGCGGCGGTGATGCGATTGGTTTCGTATATCGTCGCGCCTGTCTTCACTGTCCTCCTTCAGGTCTGTCGGTCTCGGAGGAGATCTTCCCAGTGGGCCGGGTTGATCTGCAGACTACTCAAGGAGGTCTTCAGAGTGCTCTTGTAGCGGTGGATCTGGCCTCTTTGACTGTGGGATCCCGTGGCGACATCTCCGTAGAAGGGTAGCTTGGGAAGCCGCTCGTCGCCCATCCGTACAAGGTAGCCATCCAAGCACGGTAATAACTGTCTCAGCATGGCGTAGATGCTGAGGATTCCCGTCTAATCTGGTATATCTGTGTCGGGGATCTGTTTCTACCACCTCAGCTTCAGTATCCTTCTAAGGTAACTGAGGTGGATGTGATTGAGTCATCGGACCTGCCTTATGTAGACAGTTCAGGTCTCCGCTCCATATGGCAGCGTCGGGTGTAGCTATGTCCACCTTGTAGCGTGCCAATTCCCGAGCCACTTGCGCGTCCTCTGTTCCGGTCGGTTGCTCCTCGGATTGTCTAAAAGGGAACGAAGGTACCAGATTGCCACCTTATCAGTCGGGCGAGTGGGACGGCGCGGAGGAGGAGGGGGAAGAGTATTGTTTCGGATTTGGTTGTTTCGACTGTGTGTCTTGCGTTGACGGCCGCGGTCAGCCTGCAGACGGCGTGGCTGTCCATCATTTGTAAGGGACACCTTTTCTAGCCCCTTCCCCCGTCGCGAGGGAAAACAGTGGTTTCCCTAAACAGGGTTGCGCAGTTGTCCCAGGCGGCTACCGAACTCCACTACGGCCCACGACTATTTTCAGTGGAAGAACGACCCGAGTTAGCCTGAGGGGAGGAGGGTAGGGGACGAGTAGAGAGACGCGAAGCAGAGCTTTCCCATGTCTATCTAAGCGAACTGGTTGCTGAAATATATAAGCGGTGAGCGAACGAATTCAATAGAACGTCATTTAACTTACAGTATGGACAAACACAAACAAGCAGACAAAAACAAGCATACAAGAACAGCAAGAAGCAAAGGCAACAGAGGAAATTCAACGGAACGACACAAACAAAGACAAGCAGACAAATAGCGATCCAAAAGAGCAATGTTCGCTTACCTGGCAGTACCTTATCTTATGGCGTCCTACGGTGTTTCAGACGGAGTCTCGTCCTGGAAATGCCGAGGCGATGGTCAACCCAGCCAGCGGAGCCGAGTCAACGTGTGCGGAGAGGCCTACACGGATACCCTCACCTAGTTTGGCCCGCCGGTCGAGGCGGTTACCGGGGTGTGACCCCTAGGCAGAGCCTAGTTTTGCGGAAACACATGTGGGGGTTATGTGCCAGTAAATGGGCGCTAGGCGTAGTCTACACCTGTAAACGCCTGAGCGACCTACTACGACCATAACGACCCACGACTGGACACCACTCCAGCCCTCCTCACATGCATCATCTTTCTTTCAGTACAAGGATCTCGTATCTCACAAAGCCAGAAATGTCTTAAGGTCAGATGAAGAAGGAGCCATAACAACCTGATCCCAACTTATGAGTTAATCATTTAGTTCGTAATCTTGAAAACCACGAATAGGTGACGATTCGGCATGTGGCCCTCTAGCAGCCCTTCTATGTAATACCAGCCCATGTCACTCGGAAGGACTTTACTTAATCCCCCTTCCTTTTCATTCATTCCCCCATCAAGACTACCTCAGGCGCCACCAGTAGGGTTGGCTTTTGGCCCTGGGTTAGACTTGGGCTTAGGGTGTGGATTAGAGGCTATAGTTGGAGATAGAGTTAGTGTACAGGTTAGGGTTACAGGTTAGGGTCAGATTTGGAGGCCAGGGTTGAGGTTAGGCTTTAAACATAGGGCAAAAATTAAGGTTCAGGCTATCAACAATGTGAAGTTCAGTTATATCTTCAGTGGCGGATATCGCGGCAATAGGATTGGACGATATCTTCTTCACACTTTCTCCTTTAATGTGATTGGTCATCACGCGCTGAGATCAGTTCGTCTGCCCGATGCCCTCGCTTTTCATTTTTTCGTCGGTTTACAGCTTCTAATTTACGATATGTCAAATTGCGGGCTCATATTCTAACGTTTTATTGGTGTTTTCAAATAAGTTAATCGTTTAGATGTCGATTTTCTACGTTCGTCTACCGAAAACAGCTGTCCGCCAGTTCCGTTTAAGACACCCGTGAAGTCCCTATTTCCACCATTCCGGCGCGGCAGATGTGCTCCGTCATAAAATGTTGATCGAGATTCCGAACTATATTTTCGACTCGAAGATTGCTAATTACAGTAGATGGGCTAACTCATGAAATGTCAACTGAAATTCCGAGATGAGTTTTCGTTTTGAAAAGATTAATTGAGCAGGGTTGTGAAAAGAATCAGCCTGCAGCATAATTCCATAGCAACTCATTTACCTCAGGATGTCGGCTTTCAAAAGAACTTCTTACCGGCTGCATGCAAAAACGACAATCTGTATGAAATGGTTACTTAAATAGCATGAATTTTTCTTATTGATTTCCGATTTCCCTAGATGTCCGATCATATTTCATAGAAACCATGCATAAAAATATTCATTCTTCTGCTCATTCGGTAGAAAATTATGTCTCCTTCCAATCTTTTACTCAAAAGAGGACACAATTCGGTTTTAAAAGGTTTCTAATTGTGAGATTTTTAACATCGTGAAAAGGCCGTTTATAAAACGTCATGTCTCTGCCTTTACCAATGTGGCTTGTAAAGTCAACAATATGTATAAACTCCACTGCTAAATTTTATGAAACCTATATGTTCTCCTCCTAATACCATACAGAAATGTGTGGTTTTCCGTATGCGGAAAGTATACGGCTTGTAGTTTGGAAACCCTGGATGAAAATGTGACAAAAGAGCGGGTTCAAATTTATTCGGCAATTGGAATAGCTTCGGAAAACCGAATTGTACCCTTCCTTCGAGTATAAGACTTGAAGAAGGCGTAATTTCATACCGAATGAGCAAAAGAATGAATATTTTATGCATGTTTTCTACGAAATATAAGTGGACATTTAGGGAAATCGAAAATCAATGAGAAAAAATCATGCTATTTAAGTAACCATTTCATGCAGATTGTCGTTTTTGCATGCAGCCTGTAGGAAGTAAATTTGAAAGCCGACATCCTGAGGTAACTGAATTGCTATGGAAGTGCGCTGCAGGCTGATTCCAAATCACAACCCTACTTGATCAATATTTTCGAAACGAAAACGCATTTCGGAATTTCAGTTGACATTCCATGAGTTAGCCCACCTACTGTACTTATCGTGCAGTCCCGACAGGATGCCGACTTTGAATGAACTTCATCACTGCAAAATATGACTTCTTATGTGGCATGCATTTTTCCCATTGACTTCCGGTGCATTTCTATCTTTTATAATAGTTTGTGGAGAAAGTGCACAAAAGTATTTTCTCTTGTACTCATTTGACAGCAAATTATGTCGTCTTTAGATTTTCTACTCTAAATGAGTGCGTTTTTGGTTATTTAAAACTTTTTAAATTCCCGAATGACTTTTTGTCCAGTATGCCATTACACCTTTATTGAGGGTTTCTAGTCTACGTGCTGCATGCATTCGAACAAAGAAATATCTCGTATTTCTCTATGACCTTAGGGAGACGTTGAGTTGCGCGCATAAAACTGTGCGCCGAATGCAGACCAGGTTGCGTACTTTATAAGTAGCATTAATAAGCATGCACCCTCAAAACCGAAAGGTACAATTTCTTTGTATGAAAATGTTAAAGAAGGCGTGATGTATTACCGAATGAATATAAGAAAGAATACTTTTGTGCACGTTTTCTACAAACTATAATTTCATCATTATAAGCATCGAAAATCAATTGGAAAGAATCATACTACTTATGTGGTCATTTTTTACAGAGTGTAATTTGTGCAGACGGCAGGAACGAAGCCTTTTCGGAAGCTGACATCCTGATGTGACCGAAATAGTTGAGTATTATGCTGTGCGGTAATTAATGTTTCAACCCTACTTGAGTAATCTTTTAGAATCGAAAACGTATTACAGAATTCCGGTCAACAGTCCTTGGGATAGAACAGCTACTGTATTGCGGGCGGCATCGCCTGCCTTTTTCTTAACGGGACCGCATGCTCGGCCGTCGCCTATGAATGTCGCTGCGTTAGAAACGCATTTGGTCATTTTCAGCGAGGCAGCAAGCACTGGAACCGAACTAAATTAATTTCACTCCGTTTTCCGCCCCCCAGTGGCCAGCTCGAATCAGGCAGATTGAAAAATAAGTCGGTCGCAGTGACTGAAGCGTCGTGAAATCGCCATCTGTCGCTTTTGGCTGAGGAATTGAAAAACGTTCTTTTCAGCACACTTGGTACATGGGCAGTCACCGGTTTGGAGCGATCAGAGGTGGGAGGATTATGTGGAGATTTGAAACACCGCACACTTATTAGAAAAACCAAGAGATTTGCAGTTGCTAAGTTGTGAAGTAGAAATAGTCTGCAGATCATGAAGTAATTCAGCTCACTGCGCTTAATTCGAATGCCCTTATAAGGTTAGGACTGAGTAGAACATCACTCATGACAGAAGAGTAATCAAGAAATTTGTATGCGTCGCAAACCCTTGTTTAGGCAGAATGGGTTGGGAAACGAATGGCATCCAAGATACCGCGTTTGACTTTACATACAAATTACAGACTGTCCGAGAAAGTGAGGGCGACTGATTGAATAGCGTCAAAGGCGGCCCGTTTATTGGGTTTAAAAATATTGGATGACACGAGTAATTTCGGGCTTAGTTATTCAATTTTTGACGGACATAATTAATTCTGACAGTAAATTAGACATCTGACATC